TTGGGAAGAAACTCACCCTCCTCTTCCCTCTGTACCAAAATCTTCAGAAAAAATCAGTTGCACATTACGAATGTAGTTCCGAGACCAGACAGGCTCAAAAACAAGATTTGAGAAGCGAAGCACCGACAGGTTCTCAACAAGTTCCTTGCCCAAGTAATGGTCAATCCTGAAAAATATTATCTACAAGATCAAACTTCCTTCTTTAGATTTGTATAAATCTGACTATTGATAAAGCTTGAGAGAAAAATTCACCTAAATATTTGGTCTTCAGTAAGGTAGTGCTTTAAACATTTGATTAGCTGAGCAGATGATTCAGAGTCGCGACCAAATGGCTTTTCAACAATGACCCTTGTCCACCCATTTGCTGAAGAAGCTCTAACGCTAGCACATCTCACCACATCCACAAATATGTTTGGAGGTATTGATAAGTAAAACAACCTATTTGACTTGCTTCCATCCTGGACATCAGAACAATCGAAGATATCAAATGTGAACATTTGTCAATGCAAATCAATATAACTAAGAGGGTAAGACAGACAAATCTGTCAGCAACATGGTTATTCGTGGCATCTACTAGAACACCATCTCTGAAGACTGAACTGCCTTTTATAACTTTTTCACTTTAGATTTTATTGAAATGAGAAGTTGAAGATCTTAACCACCATATTTTACGCTATATGGAATTTGAGACTTGACCTTCACTCTTAACAGTACCATGAAAATCGCAGAAACTTAGACTGTAAGATTGCCAGAGATAGATGGCTCTTTAGGATATAACGCTGTATATGTAATTATCCAGGTTTCAAATCTATTTAAAGACAATTAATTATTGCATCCACAAGATTATAAGACATGCTGCAAGATTTAAGAATTTGCTTCCATTTGCCTTAAGTACCTAATTTACATCAATTTATCTAACACTTGATGAATTTTCTGCATTTACAACAATAGCTGTTATGGAACACGCGAGAGAAAGAAATATAGTAACACATTACCTCCTTCTCTTTCAGCTTGCGGTCCAATTCTGCAAAATGCTCCTCAGAATTATACTGACCAGCATGGTAGAAGCACCTTTTCAAGAACTGATCCATTTTCTCCTCACAATTTTCCCTGTGAGTCATTTCTGCATGTCAATTTATAGATAACGCAAATATTTCATGTAATCGCATGTTCACTGTGGCTTAGCAAAATACAATACCGCTGATCTATCCTGCAAGTCAAGGTTGTGCTAATCGCGTTCCTTAGCTCTTCATCAGTCATTTCAGTTCGAGCATAACCAAACACCACAAAATTCTACATGAAGATAATAACATGCAGAATGTAGTTAGTCGTTTTGGTTGGTATGATTACAAAGTGAAAATTGATGAAGAGATCAGACAAGAACCTCAGGTAGACAATCTTCATAATAAAGAGCAAAAAGTGCTGGAAAAATCTTCTTCTTGGCAAGGTCTCCAGAAGCACCAACAACGATTATGCTTAATTTAGATTCTACGTTTTCTGAATCTGAGATGGGAAAGACTTTGCCTCGAGGTTCAGTCTGTTCTTTGCCCACAGGACTTCCAGCTGAAGTAATTTCAAATACCCATTTAAAATTGAGCAGTGATAAACCCAACAAAGAAAATTAACCAAGTACATTATATCAAACAGATTGCAGACAGCTAAATGGAGCACCAAGATCAGAAGAGGTGGATTGAAAATCTAAGCACACCTCATCTTCCAAGCAAGTTACCTTACAATCACCAATTTTAATTGTTATTGTTAAAAATTTGAACTTGTATCAGTAGGCATTCAATCCAAGTCAAACACAAGTAAGATTTCCTGTGATCAAACCTGTCAGAAAACATTAAACATGTTGCAAACGGTAATGTCTGCTAATAAAGAATGTTTCTTGATGACAGAGGTAAGCTTGAAAATTACAAGTTGAAATCACAACCCCATGCAATCAATCAATCATAATAAAAGCACTGGGGACATGAACTGGTTGCTTAAACATAACGAAACTAGTCACTCAAAGAATTAAACAAAATGGCCAAAAGGGGTAGCATATAAACAGCAGAAGAACCAAGAAGCGAACCGTCATTGAAAGACACAGCATTGAGTGGATGCCCATTTGACGATTTGAGCTGGAAGTGCTTTCTGGCAGGGGTTCTGAGGCAAATCTGAGAAACCCATCTGGAGGAGGAATGTGCTTCTCTTAGCGAAGTGATGAATTTGCTGAACTGGGGCGTCTCGTTCTTGAATGAAGAAGGTGTGGATGAGGTTGAAGAAGATGAACAAGGACTGAGGTAAGTAGCCATGCAACAGGTTGAAGGGAAGATGAAGCTCAAAATTGAGCAATACTGTGATATTAGTATTTATAGCTTTACAGATAATGTTTTTGTTAAATGAATGATGTGGAATGTATCTTGTGGTCGTCTAGTCTTATATACTCTGTTCAACATTTATCATCACATCACATATGCTTTACTTGCTTAGCAAAACATGTCGATGACCCTATTAAAAAAAAAAAAAAAAGTCAATGAAAGTACCATTTTGCCCTTCTTATGAACGACCAATTTTCAATTAAATCACTGTTCAATTATTGGTGGCAAATTTAACATTTTAGTTTTGAGGTGAAGGGTTTTCCATTTTGTTTTATTAATGCAAGTGGCATTCTGGTATTTGTCGAAATCCGAAGTGAAAATTATGTGAGGACAAGGAGTATCGCAAGTGGTTAACGCATTCTCCTCATCACTAATGATCCTAGGTTTGAAATCCCCCATCCTCTTATAACTTTGACAGAAAAAGAAGTGAAAATAATATACTATATAACATATGAAAATGATACTCCATTCTTTTTTGGCGCTAATTTTGCACTTATATGTAAAGGTATACCTGATTTTTTAAAATAGGGGTTAAGTGTATTGAATCTAAAGTCTAATATTTAGCTTTTCTTTTCTATTAAAAAGACAATCATATAGAAGTTTAAAACGATCTAGTTTTAAAGATAAGTATAAGATGAACACACAATATATATATATATATATATGTATCAGTAAATAATTCAAATCCAATAATGTAGAGACATTTTCTTCATTATAAATAAATGAACTATAGAAAAAAGTGTCATACCAAAGAAAACATAAACTCTGGTTTAAAATTGGGCCAACTCTTTTTTATTTTATTTTTTTAAATGCGGTAATTCTTGAATATTTAGAGTTTTTAGGTTTAATGGTCCCTCAATTTTGACCCAATTCATATTTGTGTCCCTCAATTTTCAAAATCATTTTCATGGTCCTTCAACTTCGCTTGTGTTAGGACAAATAGTCCTGCTGTCAATTTTGTTAAATTTTTCTGTTAAATGCATAGGCAAAATGTTGTTTTTGTATTATTTTTAATTTCCACCATATGAATATTCCTTCACCCAAAAAATAAAAATAAAAACTAAAAAACATTCTTCTTATCCTCGCCATCGTAGGGAGGGTGGGTATGGTTTGGGTGGGAATGTTTGTGGGAGTGCCATCAGTTGTTGTCAGGGTGGTGGGTTAATTAGCTCAATGTAAGGTTGTCCATGGCTTTGTTGGATTGGAGGAAGGGAGATGTATCATTCCTTGATTGGTGATGGGTTTTAATGGGCTTGGCTTGGGGAGGGAGGGAGATGTATGGACGGGGAGAGTTAGATTGCAGTGGTGGTGGAGTGAGTGTGGGGTTTAGGTGTGCCATGAATTGCCCGTATACCCCATGAGTGAAGCAATTTTTGATTTTGACCGTCAACAGCACACCATGTGCCATGCACATACTCAAATTTAACCAAAAAAAGTTAACAAAACTGATGTCATAACTATTTATCCTAACGAAACTAAGGTTGAAGGACCACGAGAATGATTTTGGAAATTAAGGGATTAAAATATGAATTTGGTCAAAATTCAAGGACCATTAAACCTAAAAACCCGGATATTTATCTTCGTAGACTTTTCATGTGGACCATTTAACCCCACTCAATTTTACTAGTGAAATCACTGAAATGTTTGGTCCACCAACCCATGTTACCCAATCCAATCACTCAACCCCAAGGCCAACCCAGCCCTAACCAGCCTAGAAGCTTGACCTGGTCCATGCGAATTGTACGAGGCAAATTATTATGCAGAATGTGAACACATTGATTTATTCAACACCTCTCCACACGTATTGACATGGTATTTTACACGCTCATTCAACTACTGTCAGGCTCCAGTACGTATTTTTGTTTTAACCCCAAATTTTTAATTTCAAAAAGATAAACACAAACCAATTTTTTTGTCTACTTAGTAGACCGATTGACCAGAGGTCAACCTTAACATCTTAGTCAATTCTTAAACAAAAAGTTGACACGGGATTATCCAGCCATCCCCAGCTAAGAAAAAATTGATTAAGGGACTAATCTAACCCTAACATTGCCCTAATTGACCAATCTAGAACCTGAGTATTTGCTGAAATGGTTTGAATATTTTGTTACCACTGAGAATAACAGAGATGAATTAGTTACTTTCACTCCATGCCTACCAACCCAAATGCCAAACTTCAAGATCTGCCACTCTGAACCAGCTCAAAATTCAACCTACTAACCCTTTAAATCCAACCATCTTTCTGTTAAAGTGCTCACTTCATGTAGAGAAAAAAACAATGAACTTTCATTGAACTTTTTATTGGTATAAACATCAAAAAGAGAAAGCTACTGCCTAAAAAGATGGATCATCTACAGTAAAAATTCAAAGATAAAGCTAAACTGGCCTTGAAGAGGTAAGTAATGGTAATAATAAGACAGCAAAAGGAACCAACCATAAATTTCTTTTTTTGATTTTTCTTGAAAGACCACTGATTCAAGTCTTAGTCATCAAAAAGAAACATTATTGAGGTAGTTGACTGAATTGGGGGGGTCTATTTCTGTGAAGTGCATCAGTTCACACCAGATTATTATACTCACAACTCTAGAACTTATATAAAGCACCCCCCAGTTTCATTTCCTTGGCATATTGCAAAAGAGTAAGCCAACCTCACTAGGCCTCTGAGAAAAAGAAAACCCTTCAAAAAATCTCTCAGATTTTTTTTTATCCCTCTAAGAAGAAACCACCATGGATTATATCAAGGTTTCAAGCACCCAAGCTGCAGGCCAGTTCAATTTCAGCCAATCCCATAACCAAAGCAAAGTCATCAAACTTTTGCTCTCTGTCTCCGTCTTGTCAATTTTATTGTCCTACTCTTCCTTGGTTTCTTTCCTTCTTCATTCCTTCAATGCCTTCACATCTGCAGCTCCTGTGAAACTGTTCAGCTACAGCTTTGATAAGAACTACATGTTCTTGCTCTGCAATGGACTTCTGGTGTTTATTGTCAAGAATTCTGGTCTTATTGGAACTTCTCCTCCAGGAAGTACTAATCTTAACAATGATGAACATGCTCCGAAGAACAGCGAAAACCCGCAAAGAGTTGTCGAATTGGCAGAGACAAAGGCACCAAAAGCAAAGGAAGAAGTTGTCAACATGGAAGTTGAAGAAGAGCAAGAAAGAGAAGATGATGAAATCTTTATCACAGTAGAAGAAGAAGAAGAAGAAGATAAAAGGGTTTTGATTACACAAGCTGAAGAAGAGGAAGGCTGCAGAAACAGCTCAATTATGGTTGAAGATCATGATGCATATGAAGAAGAAGGAATTGAGTCGCTGAGTAGAGAGGAGTTAAACAAGAAATGTGATGATTTTATCAGAAGAATGAAGGAAGGAATTAAACTTGAAGTCCAACAGGCAGTCATGTTTTGATTTGATCAGTCAGTGAGCAAAGAACTAACAAGCTAGTTTTTCAATTAACAAAGACTACTCTGTGACTGTAACTTTGAGATTTTTGGTTTCTTATTCCTTCTGATTTCCATGTTGTGTAAAATACCATCCCAGCTCTTTACCTTCATATCAATAATCGATGATACAACTTTCAGCTGAAATCAGAGATTTGAAATTTTAAGTTAAAACCATAATGTGGATTGAATGAATTACAGCGATCATACACCTCTTATGCCGATATTTGTACCATATTTACTGATCGCACCTCATAATAATATAAATGGTTGATCTGATTGTGTGTAAGCAAATCAAATTGGGAAGCATATCATCAAGTCCTAACATTTAAGTAAACGGTTGAAAATGACTTGAGATATATTCATATCCCAGTACAATTCCACGTCGCAAGTTGCCACAAATAACCAAAAGCCATGAGTCGGTAAGACAACTCATCCAATTACGTGCGAGGACAGGGCAAAAGGTGCATTTAAAAACCCAAATAAAATAAAAATATGAATCAATGATGTCCATGATTTCACCTTTTTCCTTGTATTGTTTGTTTTTATTGGATATATGTATATATCTTTGATTCTTCTTTTTGCTAATGTTTATCCACCTTTTAAGAAGATACCGAGCAATTGATCAATTGACTCATTTCTTCCAGGTCTTTCAGAAAAAGACAATTGTTCTAACAAACAGTCCAATTCAGGCGAGAGCTCAAATTTGTCGGATCATAATACAAGACATAGACATGCTGCTACCGGTCAACAATGTTTATAATAAAATGAATATATGTTGTATTGTCGGACAATTTATCGTTCGGGTCTAATCAATTTATGGTTTATATGGACATTGTAATAAAATAATAAGATTCGTGAAACATGTTGTCTTGTCACGCTATCGAAAATGTTTATATACATTAATTATGATGATTTTGTTAAAATGTATCGTCCAGATCCCGGTCTTAACAACATAGTATATGTAAGTCTAGCAACAGAACATTATGATATGAATCCATATTCCAAATTTAAAGGGGGAATCATGTCTCTCTCTCCAAGCCTTGATCCTACAATCTTTATGGACTTTACTTTAGTGCATGTTCACCCACATGATGAGCGGTCCAATTTTGTCCAGGATTAGGAGAAGGTGTGCCAATTTTCTGTACTTCCTGGCGGTGTTTTAGCAGGCACAAAGTGACCATCCGACAAAACTTAAAGATCTTCACATCTTAGTGAGCATAATTAAGGCTTGATAAGATGCACGACATTCTCATTAATGAGCACATAAGTGACAAGAAACAGACACAAACTGCACCACCACCTAAGTATGCATCACCATTCACCAGCAATATATCAATGTCATCAGAATTGCCTTATTCCCTAGGATACTGCATACGTATGCGTGGTATTACCGTCAAACACAATCAATTTTCCTCTTACACGCACTATGAGGAGCTTATAGCTCTAGTGGTACTACAACTCACACTTTCCTTTCCCGAATTGAAAATACAAGATAAAACTATGGGAAGAAATTAAGGATGGAACAAAACGGATAAAGGACAAAACATAATGAGATTGAAACTGACTTGCTCTTTGACTGGTTTCCTTGGAGCCAAAACACTGACAAACATTGCAATTAAACAGACAAGTAGAGTGGGAGACCAACCCCAATCAGACGTTTTCATGTGCGGTGAACAAAATTAAAGCCATGGAAATTCAAACGTTCAATTGACCTGGTAGTCCAGTCCATTGAAAAGTCTAGGTGAAAGTTCTGCTCTGTCGTTTGGAATCTTGATGAGTGTTGTTTGTGGCAACGAAGGACATCGAATTTTATGTGAAGGACCTACAGAAACAGGGACATGGTGGTCATTTGCCAGTGACCCCACACACACTCTACAATAAGTGATTAGAAACTCTTTCTTCATGCCGTGGTCAGTGGGGTGTTTCAGATTTTTGATGGAACCAGTTGAGTTTTGAGCTGTAATAATTGAATGATATTTTACAAGGAACAAGCATTTTGCATAATCATTTCAATACAACTGCATCATCAAGATTATGAGGAAATTAGGATAACTTAACACTAAATTGAGGTCAGTTTCCAAACACCATTTGTCCAAATTTACATTGTTAAGGGGACTTGAATAAACTGCAAACTTACATTTTACACTGAAAGTGACCAGCTTCCGCTTACCTCATTCCAACATTTCCTGAAACTTGAAGTAAATACAATGAAAGAATGACACCCATCCAGGCAATCTGAGCTGGCTTGCTAGGGTTGATAAAATATTTGTATTGCTGTTTCTTTATCACTTGTTTGCAAATGTTCCAGAGTGTGAGCTTATTAATGTTAATGACTACAATTTGATGCCTTCCACACCGCCTCATTTCATCTTCCAGAGATTCTGAATCTTTTGAACAAAGGTCACAGTGCAGCATCTATATTAACTGCTAAACCAAGCCGACTACAATTCACTGATGTTATTAGCTGCTGCATTCGCAGCATATTCGTCGATTACTGGCATATTTCTAACATGCTCAAGAAGACTTGTAAGTTCGTTATGGACATAATTGAATCTGTCCTTGGAGATTAAGGACTCTGTCAATAAACTAGCAGTAAGACTGTGGAAGGCCTGAGCACCACCGTCGCTGCTGATTTGAGCATTTTGATCATCCACAGAAACCAATGAACTTTCTACCCGCCAACGGAGCGGAAAATATTTTTCTGGGAGTTGAAAGTAGTTCTTCACTACAAGTACACGAAGGGAATGCCTGCATAAAATCCCAGAATGCTCAAATTCCTTACAAGAACAGTGAATTTGCTCATCATCTGGCATCCAAATGACAAGACATTCTCCATCCAATTTCTTGTAGTGTCGCACAAGATACGATCCATTTGCCATTTCTGTTGTTGCATATTGCACAGACAGAACAATTTCGTGTTGTAAGACATTGAAAGCATAAGGTGTAAGAATATTCCGTGCATGTTCTTCAAGAGGCATGCCCGTCTTGACATGCATATATTGCATCCCTTCTCTGGTCTGATTCTCTAAGTTGGCAGCAATACTAACCTTCAAATTACCAAAACAGAACGTAATGATGCAGTTATCCAAATTTGAAGAACATACATGCACAGAAAGACTGAATAAATTACCTGCTCAAAGAATACTTGCAGACATGTCTGTCCATTCAATATTCTTTTCAAGAATGACTCCAAAGACAGTGAAAACTCAGCTGTCAGTGTACGAGCGAGAAAGTAACTTCTAATGTAAGAAAATGTCCAGGATGCTCGATATGAATACAACAGAGCTATATGCTTATCGGATACAAGGCCAAACCGAGCAACCAAAATATTCCATTGATGTTCAAAATCTTCAACACTCTCCAGTTGAGACAACATATCAAACTCGGTTTTAAAATTTTCGTACTGTGATCCAAGGGGCAAAGAGAACCAACTGGATATTTTGGATAAAATATGCCATATACACAGAACATGTTTTGTATTTGGCAATTCCCTTGCTATAGCATCTCTGAGCCCCGAGTCTATATCTGTAAGAATAGTCTGTGGATGCCTTCCTCTCATAAATCGCATAAAAGCCTGTTCAAAAGAAGAAAATCATAAGGAAATCAAAGAAGACTGATGAGGACTGATCACAAGAATTTACATCCACAAACCTGTAAAGCCCAAGCAAATGAATGAGAGCTTTCATCTTGTAGTAGCACACACCCTAAGAAAATTGCCTTGCCATGATTATCAATACCAAACCACACTCCAAGGAGCAATCCATAAGTCACAGATCGATACGTAGTGTCAAAAGCAACTACATCACCAAAAATAGTATATGCACGAATGGAGTCACCAAACGACCATGCAATGTTTTCAACCTTTTCATTTTCATCTATAGTATAATCATATACAAAATCTGGATCCCTCCCAGTCATAGCCTTGCAGGCCTCAAGAAGTTCTAGCATATCGTTCTCTCTTTTCTCATTGAGCAAAGCATCATTTTCTTGAACTGTCTTTTTACAAGTCCGAACAAAATTCCTAACATCTTTCTCTATGAAGGGCAACTGTCCAGGTTGAACTCCCTTTTCTAGCTCCAACACCTTGACTATCCGGTTTACAGGAAACCCAGCTTTGGACAGTAAAAGAATCCGTTCTTGATCAACCTCTTGTATTTTACGATATGCAGGAAGTAGGCGCACTTGGTCATCTTCCAATAACTCATGGTTATGAACGTTACTAAACTGTGAAACATACCATTGCATAACACCATCAACAATTTCCTTTGTCAAATACAACTTTGCACCGCATCCGCATCGTACTGATTTTCTGTCCCTGGGATGCTCCACGTTGGCCTTTTTTCTTGGTTGATTAAATCCTGACCGATAACAAACAAAATCTCGTCTATATATCCCTAAGTTTTGGCTTTCAGTTGAGCGTGCTTTTCTAATTGAAAACCCATTCTTCCGGGCAAAATTGCTGTAGTATTCAAAAGCATCATCATCAGTTTTGAAAATTTGACCAACATAAGGAGTGAAGACAGCTTCTGATGATGACGAAGATGGAGTTGTCTCACTCTTTACATGCTGAGAACTTACTGAGCCCAGATCATCTCCTTCATACTGAATGTAACACTTCCAATCTCCACATGGGCACTGTTGGCGTCGAATCCAGATGTTATTTGATGGCTTCATTGCCATTTTTTAGGAAACACATGAAGTGTTCCAGCTTATGTAGCCTTCAGCCAAACAGACAGAAAAAGAAAAAAAAAATACTTTTAATCAAATATTTGTTGCAATTCAGACTGTCATATACAAGAAAAAAAAAAGGCAAAATATGTCCTTATAATGCATAATGCATTACGCAGTTCAAGTCCGAAAAAAGCAAAGAAAAAATAAAAGAGCAAAGGTGAAATAGTTCCTTAAACTCAAATATAAAGTTGGAAAAAAAAAGAGAGGGAATGATCAAAATATATAGTTTAGCTGGAGATAGTGAAAGCTAAATCAATGAAGAAAAAAATAAAATTTGTCATGGATTAACAATGAATAACTACTCCACAAAAGAGACATGTCATGGGCTACAATTTAGGAAGGAAATGAGAAAAATAAAAGAAATCCAGCAACAAGCATGAATTCAAATTGTTTTATACCCCTAAAAATTTGATCTTTCAGAAAGAGAAAAAGCTCAAAACTATACATGGTTATTAGAAAAAAGAAACTTACCAGTAAAAGTGGCCCTCAAATGGTTCAAAATTCTGAGCAAGACAATGTGGTGTTACAGAGCAGCTGCAGCCGGAAGTTCAATAAGATGAACAATTATAATATTCAGTTGGAAAAAACCCGAAACTTAGAGTGGAAGTGAAGACGTAAAGGTTTGAACTTTACAGAGGGACTAATCAATTCAGAGAGAAATTACATACCCGATAAAGAAATGCGAGCGAAAATATAAACCCTTCGTGTTTCTCTTCTTCGCGCTTTGGGTTCTTCATCGTCTCTCTCTGCAAAGGAATTTCAGTTATTTTTAGTAAATTTAAGATAATATTATAGAACAAGTCAATGGAGGCCCAACTGGAGTAATGGGTTATGGCCAAGTCAGAATAGGCATGCTAGTTGTGGGCCCATAAATAAGATGGAAAACTTGATTCAGTTTCTGACATTACAGGTCCACACCAAAAAAACAACTAAAATTATACCGCTAATTAGAGTTAAAAAAAAAATTATTAAGAAAATTAATGAAAATATTAAGAATTGAAATTATTAATTAAATGAGGATAATATGGTAAATTCACACTTTTTCATATTAAAAAAAATTAAAACTAAAAGAAAAATCAGATAATGAATTCTATTTTTATAGAACACAACTAGTCATTATCTTTTTTAATTCTAAAATAATTTTAAAAATTAAAAAAAAAACTCTCGCAAGCACGGAAGTGCGTGCGGAGAGGATGCTGTTTGTTTTTTTTTTTTATTAAAGAAGGGTACGTTCATACGGTATCAATATAGTGTCGATATCATTATCGATAACATCTCAAAAACAAAATGTACCACATGTTATTGATACATCAACAATATGTTACAAAATCCATCGTGGATAGAGAAATTTTGTAATAGTGATTACTTCCCAATGTATCAGTTTCTCAGCTCACAATGGACAGGTAGAGCTTCAATTTTCCCTGCTGAGTACACAACTGTTGAAAGCTATGCCGCAAAATAGCAGCTTCCCATAAATTCTTGGGCACATTTCCTTAAATTAGACACAATTTTATTGATACAGATGCGTTAACCCAAAATAATAAATTACTGTACAACAATACCAAATTTAAGCGACTATTGAAGTGTCAGCTTGCTTAGTTGATAAAATCACTTGCCACACTCATGAAAATCTCAAACTGTGAACCATGCTCAAAGTCTCCGTTAGCACCAACTACTAACAAGTCAGCTACCAGTAATCCCCACAAGAACACTTGCCATCTGCAAAATGATGAAACCTGCTTGAATCTCGCAATACTATTTGCCTACCAACAATCTTCGATATGTATTTGAAAGCAGAGTGGCAGTCGCCGCAAACACGGAGATTTTTCATAATCCTTATAGGCGACTGTGACGGGCGAGTAAGAACATATGCAACTGCAAGCTTCTCACTGTGATAGCTCAGGAGTTCTTCCTTATTCTCCAGTTCAAGATCATAGAGTGCAAATTTTGTTTCAGGCACGTATCCAGCCTCCTTCATTTTCCTGTTGAGTTCCTTCAGTTTTTCATATATCAAATCCTTCTCTGGGTGTGATTTGTCTCCAGCTACAAAAACATGAACACCATCCTTCATGGTGACCCAACTACACCCAGCTTCCTTCTTCGCTGTTGCCTTCCTCATTGCCATCCGAGCCTTTGCCACATCGTCCCACTTCCCTCCAGCAGCATACATGTTAGCAAGAAGCACATAGTTTGTAGCGTTTTGCGGTTCCAACTGCAATAGCATTTCAGCCACCCTCCTACCTAGCTCTGTGTTACGGCCATTAGCTCGGCAACAAGCCCCTAAAACTGTCCTCCAAATGAGAACATTAGGCTTCATTGGCATTTTGTTGATGAAGTCCTCTATCATATTAAGTTTGCCTGCCCTGCCAAGAAGATCAACCATACATGAAAAGTGCTCCATCCTAGGAGCCAGTCCATGTACTTTGGTCATGGATTTGAAATGCTGAAACCCTTCATCCACCAGCCCTGCATGACTACAAGCTGACAAGACCCCAACAAAGGTAACATGATCTGGCAGTTGACCTTGTAGCTTCATTTGCGAGAAAAGACTCAGAGCTTCGTGTCCTTGACCATTGCGAGCATACCCTGATATCAATGAATTCCAGGAATATGCATTCCTCACTGGCATCAGCTCAAAGAACTTTGAAGCATAATCAATCCTTCCACATTTTGAGTACATGTCAACAATTGCACTCCCAACTACAACATCAGATTCCAAACAAGCTCTTATTCCACACGCATGAACTTCCATACCACGTTCTAATGTTGCAACTGAGGCACAAGCACTGAGAACAGTAGCAAAGGTAAAAGAGTCTAATCTCTGACCCCTTTGCATCATAAACCAGACCAAATCCATGGCCTTGGGCAAGAACTCATTGTGTATGTATCCAGAAATCATGGAATTCCAACTTATTTCATCCCTTCTCTCAGACATTCTAGAAAATATGTTCTCACAGTCATCTATCCCTCCACACTTTCCATAACAAGTAATAAGTGCATTCTCAATAGCGCAGTCCTCCGCAGCATTGTATTTTAAGACAACAGCATGAATCTGCTGGCCCAGGTCAGGAAGTGAGAGTGATGAAACTGCTGCAAGAATGCTCATAAATGTTACTCTATTAAGTTCCCATCCAGATTGCATCATGTCCAAGAAATATTCTACAGCTTCTAAAACTGATGCCTCTGAACCAGCTAAAGCCCCGATTATGGAATTCCATGATACTTGATCGTAATCCTGCATCGAGAAGAAAACATTCTGGCATTCACTAAGATGCCCAGTGTCGGAATATAATGCAAGAAGAGCATTCGAAACTGAAACATCTAAATCAAGTCCCAATTTAAGTGCTTCACAATGTATCTGCTGTCCCAGAATTATCCAACCCAAGCTTGCACATGAACTTAAAGCACTAATTAACGTGAAATTCGAAGGCAGCAACTCAGATCTCTTCATTTCATGGAAGTTCATGACAGCATCTTCAAAAAACTCATTCTGGTCAAGACCAGAGATCAGAGAGTTCCACGAGATTAAGTCCTTGTCCACCATGTGCCTGAAAACTGAGCAAGCATCACTAATAGCACCACACTTGGCATACATATTAATAAGCCCATTTCCTATTGCAACCTTTCTGTAAATTAAACCAGCCCCGATTACATATGCATGAACCTCCCTTCCCTTTCTTTTTCCTTCTTCCAAAACAGAAAATTCAGCAAAAGAACTTAAAAGAACCACAAGTGAATCAAGGTTTATTCCAACCAAACCCTTCATCTCCATGAAAACTTCAGTGGCTTCTTTTCCTCGCTTTTGCCTCACCAATGCAACCATCAACCCATTCATTGATACGGCATTCCCCTCACTCATCCTCTCACAAAACT